AATGGCGCACATGTTTGTAGGCACACAGACGGCGGCACTGCAGTATCAGCTGATCAGTATGGTGAGCAGACGTATATCAGGCAGGGAAAGGGTTCCGGCGGTATGAAAGGTATTTCAACGAGTGCCGATCAAGTGGCAGTGTGGGTAAACAGTTTTAGTGTGTGTGCACATTTCAACATAGCCATGGATCACATGTATAGTGAAAATGTGGAGAGTGAACAACCCGATTGTGATGTGAATGAAGATGAAAAGAAGATGCACAAGGAGGAAGGAACACAGAGAAGAAATTTGGACAACGACGATAGAAGAAAGATAGCACTGGAGTTGAATAAATACTCCCACCCCCTTACCGAGCAGCATCCAGGTGTTTATAACATCTGCAATGGCCAGGTGGCACCCGATAGCGTAAATGTCCAAAATGCACTGGCCATTGGCAGTGAACAAAGCAGGCAGTTTTCTGCTTCACTGAGCACTGGTTTCCACGCAACCATAAAGAAGACAGTCAAAACGATGGAGGTGCTGAAGAAGGCAGTAACTGTTAAGGGAAAAGCCATCTATGATATCGAGACGCTGTTTAGTCGGTTGTTAATTGTAGGACAGCAGCGCAGCGTGGAGATATCTGATGTATTTCAATTTGAGCTAAGTCCTGTTCCCCCTGCCCTGATCGATGAGTATGGCTGCTTGAGAAAGGGCAATAAGTCAGTACTCGTCAGGTGCCTCGGAATCCTAGTCACAACTCCACCTGCTCCAGATGTTGTGCTGGTTGACGCCGGGCAGTTGCTTTACCACGTCGTGTGGCCCGCCGGCGGGACTGCAGGTGACTTAGCCGCAAGTTTTGGCGCACGTCTGTCCCACTACCCCGAAGATTCAAAGAAAGTCGTGCTCTTTGACAGGTATGATGAAGAAACTCCCAGCCCTAAGGAACACGAGCGTATGAGACGAGGAAGCGCCAAAGAACTCCGGATTACTCCAAACACCAGCCTTCCTTGCCGCGAAGCCATTCTTCACAATACGAAGAACAAGAGTCTCCTCAACAACATTCTCTGTACATATCGTCTCCCACACAACATACAGCTCGTGAATAAGATGGACTGTGCAGTAACCCATGTTGAGGCAGATGTCACCCTCTCCAGTTATATGTTAAAGGCAGTGGCGGAGGGCGCCGAGACAATACGCATTCTTAGTGATGACACAGATGTCTTTGTCCTCTTGGTCTATTGGGCATCAAAGATGAAGATAGATGCTACGATTCAAATGGAAAAGTGGAGTGGTGATGTCCTTGACATAAATGCTACTGTAGAGCAGTTAGGGCCAAGGAAATGCAGCCAGTTACTAGGTGTCCACGCACTGTCAGGCTGTGATACAGTATCGTACCCCTTTGGAAAAGGAAAGCAGTCGGCACTGAAGCTGCTAGAAACAGATATACCAGGACTGGATCAAGTGCTTGGAGAGCCTGGTGTAACCCACGCTGAGCTTAAGATGACAGCTGATGCTTTCTTTTTACCCCTTTACGGACAGGCAGAATGTGCAACATTGAATGAGGCCCGTGCTCGCTTCTTTCGCTGTCGAAAGAAACCCCCGCCTCTTAAAAAACTGCCACCGACTGATGACAACCTGAAGCTACATGTGCTTCGAGCTCATCTACAGATGTCACTGTGGAAGGCTGCAGACAAACGGGACCCACCTGAAGAAACTCGAGACATTTCAAACTTTGGTTGGACCATTGATGGATCAACCATCGTCCCGACCATTTCATCGGCACCGGTGGCTCCTCAAGTGCTGCTCGATGTGGTCAGCTGCAGCTGTGCTGTAGTAGGCGGCAAGGCTTGCAGCGGTGCACGATGCAGTTGCAATAACTCAGGTCTCTCATGCACTGACTACTGCAAGTGCGAGGGAGGAATCTCATGTTGTGGGCATTTTACTAATCCATTAGACATTGACAATGAAGAACAGTTAGACGGAGAATATGACGAAGTCTAAAATAAGATTATGCCCAAGACTTGTCAAGAACTTGATTTAGTATTAAGAAAATCGATTTGATTAGTTGTCACGTAATGACTGAGATATCCGCATTTAATGTTTTTTTAATCATAGAGTAGTATTGGCGGACATATTGCTTTTCGTTGTTGTTTTATTTATCCAAAGAATCTGTTTAATTGTGCATCCTGTCTTGACTGCAGGTATAAATTTTTCTTTTTGTATATTTATATTTGATTTAATAAAAGTCTTTTTCAGTTAAAGAACTTGTGGTTTTACAGCTCTTTTTCGTCCTTTCCATTACGTTTTGGAGGCCATTTTTGTTTTTTTTTTATTCAAATGACTAACTGAGATGTAATAAGTGATTGCAATTTACAAGTATGTATAAATAAACATCCAATGATGAACAATGGTGTGAAGAATATACATACTGATTTGAACGTAATGCTCTTGCTATTCATATAACAAATTGACGGCCATCTTGTACTGTGAAACCTGATCAATATCCTAAACGTATCAACTGGCAAAGAAACACAAGTTTAGTTGTATTTTCACAGTTTTCAAGCTCAGGTGATATAATTTCTTTTATAAAGTTTGCAAGATATGACAAAGCAGGCTTCGACTGTGGGGCTCGTTGGAGTGCAAATGAAATTCCGGGAGCTGACACCATCTGCCACCATTTGTAGAATGTCAAAAAACTTTTTTCTCAGAGTTTGGGATCATGGCTAACAAAATATTATAATGAAAATAAATATAAGTGGCAAAAATAGTTTTTACAAGACTAAATGTGCAGAAAAACGGACAATTTTTGAATCTTTTTTTACATTATACCATATGTTTTGACGGCCATTTTGATGTTTTGCTAAAAGTTACGCACTTAAGTGTATCCAACATTCCTGCTGTGCTCTTCTGATAGGATTAACGTTCAAAGAAGCCCTTAATAAAGAATACCTGGCCATTTCTGGTCCTTTTTCTATTTTTCCTCATAAATTGACGGCCATATTGAAAAATGCTCAACGTCTCGGAAGTAGCAACCAAGCTAATTTTGCTTCTCTCGACCTAAAGAATGCACTTCAGCAAAAAAAGTTTACAGGAAAAAACATTGCAGGGTTAGCGTTCTGGCTACTCGACTATTAATGATGGAGTGGATGCAGAAATGAAATATAAGTTTGTACCGGTAGTTAGCATGGCTGTGCTTGAAGAAAGAAAAGAAGACACTATCTAGAAAAGAAGACACTATCTAGTTGTTCTTGGAGAAGTGACCACAGTATACTGGTGGATATTCTTGGAGAATTGAGGACTACAGGAATTTTGTAGAAGTTGGGACTATATAAAAATTTTTGGAGAAGCTAAGACTACAGAAAAATTTCAAAAGAGGCTAAGACTTTATAGAAACATGGAGAATTAAGGACTACAGAGATATTTTTGTAAGAATTTAGGACTATGCATATCCATTTTTTTGGGAGAAGTTAGGTCTATGGAAATATTCTAGTATTAGATTAATATGGATTAATAGAGAGATACTGCCAAGAGGTAGAACAAGTGGAGAGCCTTTCAGTGCCCACTGAAATTATGGCATAAGTAACCTCAGCACCTGGCTGTGTTTTATTTCATGGGCACAATTGGGATGAAAAAAGACGAGATGTGCAGTTACATTTTTTTACTGTACTGCATTTAAAAGAGACTAAATGCCAGAATTTTCAACATATTCAACATACATCTGTCTTGAAAGTTCAACCCCCTTGTAGAATAATAAATTTTTCCCATTGTGTTAAGTAACACTTTAAATTACAGTTTCATGTGTTTTGAAGAGTTATATTACAGAAAGTGTCCATTTTTAAGCATTCAAAGCTTGCAGTGCACAACCAACATTATTATGAGTCAGTATTAAAGGGTGTTTGCAGTCTAACACCTATTCTCTAATTTTATTCCATTTATTTTTATATGCAAGCTTTTTTTATTCACCCATTTATTCCAGTACTTTCCTGGTATTGTTGTATCAGGTGGCCCTTTAAGAATGATTAGATGCTAGACTCTCTTTCCTGACTCATTTCACTGATGTTTTTTAACATATTTTACTGCCTCTTTGGACTGACCCATTTTCACAAGTAAAGTAAAAGTAAAATTGCACATTGCAGCAACATCAGGGTGTTTGGGACCTAGCAGCTCCTTTTTCAGTTTGTGACATCTTTTTAAATATGGAAGTGCTCTTTGGTAGTCACCCATGGCTTCAAGTAAAGAACCAATATTGAAATATAATTGGGCAGTATTAGAATGTTTGGGGCCTAGCACTTCTTCCATCACTTCTTTGCATTTTTTGTAATAATCTAATGCCTCTGTGAACTTTCCCATGTCTTTCAGTACCAAAGCAATATTGTACACTCTTGTTATAATATAGCAGTATCAGTGTGTTTAAGACCTAGGACCTCTTTCCTAACTTCCAGGCCTTTTTTTAGATAGCCCAGTGCCTCTTTGTACTCACCCATGTGTTGTAGTACATTACCAATATTGTTGTATGAGGCAGCAGTATCAGGGTGTTTGAGACCTCCCGCACGAAAATGCAGTAGTATCGAAGTAGCAAAGAAGCATTAACGCAATAGTGGTGTGGAGCATATTTGCAGTAGAAATGCAGCATAGCCTACTGCAATTCTACTTCAAAAATTACATAGGGTCGTACAGAGGAGGAGCATTAATGCAGTAGATTTGCAGCATGATAGAAGCATGTTTCAAATATGCTAATTAGCTCCCCAGTCGAAGCAGATTTGAAGCATGTTTGCAGTAGAATTGCAGTAGTCTACTGCGCTGGAGTATCTACTGCGTTTTCTTGCGGGCTAGCAGCTTCTTTTTCAGTTTGTGACATCTTTTTAAATATGGAAGTGCTCTTTTGTAGTCACCCATGGCTTCAAGTAAAGAACCAATATTTCCATATAAATGAGCAGTATCAGAATGTTTGGGGCCTAGCACATCTTCCATCACTTCTTTGCATTTTTTATAATAGCCAAGTGCCTCTTTGTACTCACCCATGCATTGTAGTACATTACCAATATTGTTGTATGAGGCAGCAGTATCAGGGTGTTTGGGACCTAGGACCTCTTCCCTTACTTCTAGACATTTTTTACAATAGGCAAGTGCTTCTTCCTACTTACCCATGTCTTTTAGTAACATACCAATATTGTTGTATGAGGCAGCAGTATCAGGGTGTTTGAGACCTAAGACCTCTTCCCTTACTTCTAGACATTTTTTACAATAGTCAAGCGCTTCTTCGTACTTACCCATGTCTTTTAGTCGCATACCAACATTTTTGTATGAGGCAGCAGTATCAGGGTGTTTGGGACCTAGGACCTCTTCCCTTACTTTTAGACATTTTTTACAATAGGCAAGTGCTTCCTCGTACTTACCCATGTCTTTTAGTAGCATACCAATATTGTTGTATGAGGCAGCAGTATCAGGGTGTTTGGGACCTAGGACCTCTTCCCTTACTTCTAGACATTTTTTACAATATTCAAGTGCTTCTTCGTACTTACCCATGTCTTTTAGTAGCATACCAATATTGTTGTATGAGGCAGCAGTATCAGGGTGTTTGGGATCCGGACCTAAGACCTCTTTCCTTACTGCTAGGCATTTTTCATGATAGACAAGTGCTTCTTTGTACATACCCATTTCTTGTAGTACTCCACCAATATTGTTGTATGACTCAGCTGTGCCAGGGTGTTTGGAACCTAGAAACTCTTCCCTTATCTCCAGGCATTTTTTATGATAGTCAAGTGCCTCTTTAAACTTACCCATGACTTGCAGTATGTAGCCAGTATTGTTGTATGAATCAGCTATGTTAGGGTGTTTGGGACCTAGGACCTCTTCCTTTACCTCCAGACATTTTTTATGACAATCAAGTGCCTCTTTGTACTTACCCATGGCTTTCAGTACACAACCAATATTGTCATATGAGTCAGCAGTATGAGGATGTTTGAGACCTAGGACCTCTTTCCTAACTTCTAGACATTTGCTATGATAGTCCAGTGCCTCTTTGTACCTACCCATGTTTCTCAGTACATTTCCAATATTGTTGTATGAGGTAGCAACATCAGGGTGTTTTAGACCTAGGAACTCTTTCTCTATCTGCAGGCACTTTTTAAGATAGTCAAGTGCCTCTTTGTACTCACCCATGTCTTGTAGTATTTCACCAATATTGTAGTTTGATTTAGCTGTTTCAGGATGTTTAGGATCTATGGACTCTTCCCTTACCTCCAGGCATTTTTTGTGATAGTCAAGTGCCTCTTTGTACTCACCCATGTTTTTCAGTACAATACCAATATTGTTGTATGAAGTAGCAGTATCAGGGTGTTTGAGACCTCAGACCTCTGCCCTTACCTCCAGGGATTTTTTATGATAGCCAAGGGCCTCTTTGTACTTACCCATGTTTCTTAGTACACAACCGATTGCGTTGTGAATGTCTGCTTTTTCAATTCTTTGACCTTCAAAATTTATGTTTATTTCTCTGTCAATTGACTGAAAAATTGATAGAGCTTCTTGATATAGATATAGAACATTGAATGTATTTGCAATCAATTGTAGGTTATAGAGATTGTTTTTTTTCTGTTGTATGTCAGAAGTGCAGAGTTCCATTTTAAGCAAGGTGGCAGTCATACGTAAATGGGGCACCAGTTTTGACATATTTTCAAAAAGTGAAGCTTTAATATTATGCTCAAGGTAAAGCTGGAACATACGCCTTATGTAATAATCACAGTATTTCTTTCGTGTGTGAGAGATTTCCGTGCTGTCAGTTTGTGCAAGAAACTCTGCATACTCCTTTACCATAGGATGCAGATCATAGATATTTTGGACCAAACTCAAGAGTGACTTATTGCTAAGACTGTCAAGGACAGATTCACATTCATCTTCATCCATCTCCAAAATCTCTGAGACTTCTTTTGAATTGAATGCAACAGGAAATATATGTAGTCCCCTAAACACCTTTTTCTCTGTGTCATTCAGTGTTTCGTAAGACATTTCTAAGCAGGTGAGCATACCTTGGGATGCTGGAATGTTAGGTAACTGAAGAGAGGGGAGGACATTTATGCGTTTCATTTTCTCTAACACTTTATGTACTGTTTTGAGCTTGATCTGGGTAGCTGCTAATTTTAATGCAAGGGGATTGTGGCCACATCTCTCTGATATTTCACCTAAAGCTTCTGTCTCACTATCTGTGGGGATGATTGTATTTCCCCCCCAAAGGACTTCAAGTGAAGATGTTTTATCAAGAGGAGGGATGTCTATAGTAACTGTGGTTTGTGACAGAAGACTGAAGGATTCACGACTGGTGCATAAAAGAGTGATATGTTTTGATGAATTCAGGACTTCCTCTAGTAACTCTAGAAACTCTTGCTGGTGTGAATTCAAAACACTGTCATTATTATCAAGGATTTGTTCTGATAATCACTGTAAATATCTTTCAAAAACTGATTTGGGTGATAGTGCTGCACAAGTGATAATTTAACAGAATCAAGATTTCCAACTTTTCTCATATCAATATACAAGACCTCTTTTCTGTCATCTTTTCTTTGATGTCCAACCTCAACAGCTATGCTTGTTTTACCTATGCCCCCCATGCCAGTCAGGAGAATGAGTTTTGTGTCATTTTCAACATGCTGCAGTATTTTCTGCACCAGGTCCACTCGTCCCTTCAGCTCTGGAGTTCTACTTGGAAGGTTAGTAGAGATGAGCTCACAAGGTCTTTCTGAAATTGAAAAGTAAACATGCAAGAAAAATCTTAACTTTCATGCATAAAAAAATTATGTTAAAATTATACTTTTACATAATTAAGTATTGGGATAGAGGTCTGAAAGGTAGATTTGATGTTTTAAAATGGATGTCGGAGGAAGTGCATTTCATATAGTTTTTCTAAATTCAGTGCATTCTTCTTTAAGTTTATACCTGGGAGAACAATCAGCACAGCACAATTCCAAGTGTACTATGAAGAACAGTCCCTCTCATTGTGCGCATTTCTTCAAAGTACACTTGTGACTTTAAACTGAACTACTTGTACAACTTGACTTCCCATGTCTGAATTTTATCAAACAATGGCTTCCTCTGACTGAGTTAATACAACAACTTGTATGAAAGTTTTAAAATTACTAATTACACTTTTTTTTTCTATACTGTGGTTCCTGACAACTTGTTATCTGTTAAATATGTCATACCTGCTGCATGCAATGGATCAGTAAGCAACTTGTCATAGTCGTCACTTGTGTAGATTGTGGACAGTGATAACAACAAAGCTTTCAATTCTGTAAACTGGGTCTGAAATGCAGCATCTGTGAGACTGTCACCCCCGTGGGAAAATTTGTTGCGATATTTCTTCACTCTGCCAATCTGGGCCTCCAAGGATGTGCCAATTATCGGTGGATTCTCCCAACTGCCCTTTGGGTTTAGTGTTGTGATATTTCTTAACAAGACTACTGTAAGAGTCACATCTAAGTCCTTCAGTGTCACAGTTGTGGAGGGATTCCCAGAAGGGAATAGAAGCTTCATTTGGCTTGCATTCAAAACTTTCATTTTTTTCAACTGTAGCAAAGTTTGATTTGCCTTTTGGTCAGTTAGAATATCAAACAACTTGCCACCATTTGACGGATCAAACAACCCTGGATAAGTTGTTTGTAACTGTGTACTGAGGACATCTTGAAGCACATCTTGTGACCGATGTATCATTAGCCCCATACGTATTGTGTTTTCTATCTCATTCCGTGGAATGGCAGCAGTCGCCATTTTGTCTTAGTTCTGGAAAAATATAATGTATCAGTGTGAAATAAGGAGGCATTGGTAAAGGTGTTGCTGGCTTTTGTAAACCACCACAAGTAAGTGGGAAATTTTGCTTGAACACTTAATTAAAAAAGGAAACCCTTTGTTCATTTTTTCTCGTCTTTAGAAAAGTCATACTAAGTCTTTGGGAGAGACATGGCATATTTTATTTAGGTGGTCCTGAAATCCTTTTCTTTTTAAAGAAATCTTAAAAGGAAATTTGGTACGCATTGTCATTGGTAAAAGCCTAATTAAGTTAATTGAAAATGATGAAACATGAGCCATTGTCTTTCATTACTACAAAATGTTGAGAAAATGTTGGTTTTAATGAATAATGAATGGATAATGAATAGATAAAGAAGTATTCAGAAGTGAAACAAGGAAGTACAGGCTGAATCCAGAAGTGAAACTTGCAATTATAGGATGTACCAAGTTGGATCAGTATATAAATGTGATTACTGTATAGAAATGATTTGAGTGCACACTAGCTAATATCTGGTGATTAAATTTTAAATAAATTGCTGTCTTAAACTCACCTTGAAATGGATAAAGAAAAATATTGATGGGGCGAATGAGAACTATGCCTCTGTCCCCTGATGTAAGGTTGTCATGTGACATACGGGTATTCAAGGTTAAAAGGAATAACTTTTTATCTAAATAAAAGATTTAGCCACCAAAGAATGCAAAATTTGACTTTGAATTGGTAGACAAAGTCAACTTCTAATCAACCTTTCCTTCCTTGGAAAATTTTCAATATTGTATCGTCATCAATTTAAACTATTTGACATAGAAATGTCACGTTGTTGTTATTAGTAATGACGCAGTTTTGTGGAGATTGGTTATTTATCAAAGGCCAAGGAGGATATGATAGGTCATGCTGTGTTATCATTAATTTGACTGCAATTTATGTCAGTACTAAATAGGTCAGCAGTGTTGATTTGTTGTCTATGGTTACTTGTTTTGGAGATTTTTTGCTACATTAAATGGGAAAAAAATTTTTTAAATCACTTGAATTTTTAGCAGTCCACTCCAACATGTGAACTCCAGCAGCCATTTTCCTGACACACGTGTGCACCATAATACTTTGGAATTTTCATTGTCCTCCCCTCAAGAAGTATTCCCATGGACCTATGACTCAGCACGGACCACAGGCCATACTGCCTCTACTGAAAACTATAAGAAGGAAGGTAAAGATGAGTTCTGGTTGATGGTTTTTGAAGTAAAATCACACAGATATGTGCTTGTCTTATTGTTGCTCGGTTTTGATCTTTTTTTTTTTTAAGTCAAAAAGTGTGTGATATTAATCTACCAGTACTGGTATAATGGTAAAAACCAACCTTGTCTCTACCACAGAATAACAGACGAGTGTCCAAATTGTCTTTTCTTTCAAAGTTTGTCAAGTGTGTCTTCTGTCAGATTTTTTTTTTTTTTTTTTTTTTTTTTTTTTTTTTTTTTTTTTTTTTTTTTTTTTTTTTTTTTTTTTTTTTTTTTTTTTGATCAGTAATGGTAAATCCTTGTTCTGACATGTTACTAGTCTTTCTCAACCTGTCATTGGCTTTTGATACTAAGTTGCTATAGAAGAGCATTCAAATAAAAGGTGATACATTTTGGCTGCTGGTTTATTTGATATTGGTTAGAATGTAGTATTATAACAAAATACATATTAATCTATTTCTTTTCCTGCTTGTATATTTATGTATAAACACAGTAGTATCTCTACATATTCCAATCACATCATTCTGTTTGGTCCAGCTGGAACAGGAGCAGGGCACATTTCTTGTTACTGTATATACAGCTGTTTGACTTTGAACTTACAGGAATTACTCAATGTTATAAGATCCTGGGAGTAATTTGTGTATTCATGATATTTTTTCTGATGTTTTCAGAAGAAAATTTTGATGTTGATGCTGAATTTAGGTGGCAGTCTGTGGCTAGACAGGGATTAAAAAGATTATAAATTGCACTGTATTTCAGCAGTTACAATTTCAACTATAAATATAAGAAAAATAGTATATGCACATCAGCTTAGTTTGAAGCAAAATCTTTATCTTTTGAATCAAGAGAAAAAGTTGGTATACTTTTCAAAGCAACATTTATTACATAAATTTCACATAAATTTCACCTCCATTAAAAGTGACACCTAACCATTTGCATTTGAGAAAGTGTTACATTAGAAACTTTGTAGGCAGGTGGTATGTATGTTGTACATAAGTAATGCCCAGATAAAGAATAAGATGTTCATGGCATTGAAAAACTGTCAGCCCTTCAGTCTCGGACAGATAGTAAGCTTTGGGACTGGTAATAATGAGGTTCAAGTAAATTCTCTTGACTGAGAATAAATATTCTTTTAATTTGTTATAAACCTTATTTATTTCGCTTTTAAGTTTAATATAATTAAAATGTTAAAAACTGGTACTTATTCATTTGGTCTGACAGTGTCCATAATGTTATAAGTTAATAACTAATGTGATTGACTGTCAATACTAAATTTCTAAAAATATAAAATAATGATTATTGGTAGTAAATATAGTAATTTCCAATTTCGTAATATGAAATAATAACAGTACACTACATATTTTAAGTAAATAAAATATATGTATATGAATTTATATACATTCATTTTTTTAAGAAATGAAAGAATACTCATCATAATTTTTATAAACAAATCAATGGCAATAACTATCCCCAAATAGATAAAGTTAATATTTGTAATCTGTATTTGATTTCCATACACTATCTGTAGCATTCCAAATTTAATGGACAAGTTTTGTGTAGTGATGCACACCAATGTTGTTTCACCTTATTTATTATTACTTAATAACTTATTTATTATTACTTAATACGTTCTCTTACATGTAGCAGATATGAATAAATACACAGATATCTCAATAATAAACAACAGTATGAAAACTATGCAACATTAATTAAAGTAGATAATAACTATCAATACCATTAGTTGCTTCAGTTTCAGCAAGGCTAAATATATAATTAAAGAAAACACTGAGATTAGGTCCTGTTGTTTGAATGTAATATAGACATTTGATCACCCAACTGCTATTTATTATTTAACCAAATAAATGTGTAAATGTATACATGTGCAGATACAAACTCGCAGTAAACACTCTCCAACATATATTTCTAACAATAAAGTTTACCAAAATACAAATTCATTTCAACTCTTCAGTTGTAAAAAAAATCATGAAGGTAATATAGATCAGGCCCTTAACCAGCAATCTGAAAAGTTTTTTTTTCTGAAAAAGTGACCTTTTTACCATGAAACTCTGTGTACCTAGATAAAATTTACCTGGAGGGGACCTTTTCCCCAGCAAAAAGGGTGGTTTGTTCAAACCCTTCAAACTCCCCTGGTTATCAACCTATAGATTAATTTAAAAGTGAAACCCTTTGTTACACCAGCACCTCATGGTTAAATTATCAGTTTATGAACTGTCAGAACTATCTCATAGAGAATTTGAACTATTATAACTACAGGTATAATTGATTTTATTTTGCAATTCCAGAACCCATGCAGCAACACTTAGGTTTGCAGTCTTCCTTATGATGAAGTGGACGCAGCGTAAAATATTTTAGAAATTGTAAACCTCCATGGATACACTCAAAGTAATGTGATGTTTTGTAAACATATTCATTGCAGAACAAAACTAGAATAGCACTCAGAGCAGACTGGTCTTTGCTGTGGTGGCTCTTTTCTTATCATTAATTAATTGATTAATCAATAGGTCAAAATCTAATCAATACTAATCCAATTTCTCACTTTTCCTAAATTTGTTTTATCAAAACCCACCCTAACTTCTTAAGTTAGGATGTTAACTAACAAACTAACATAGGCAAAAACATAACCTGCTTAGTAGAAGTCATCACATATGATAATATACATCTCAGAATTATATAACACATATGTACGCCTAAAATAAATAGCCAGTTATGAAGTATTTAAACAGGAGGCAATGATCTTATGTTTTGGTACCAAACTATGTAGGTCCATATTTTTTTAATTTCAAGATTTTTCTACACACAAAGTGATTAATAATCCTTTGGAAGAAAAGTAACTTGACCCGCCCCAAATAAATTATATATAGTTAGGATGGATAGCCAGGCAACCACATAAATTATATAGTGAGTATGAATAGCCAGGCCCTTACATGAAATATATAGTTAAGATGGATAGCCAGACACCCACATAAATTATATAGTAAGGATGGATAGCCAGGCAACCACATATTATATAGTTAGGATGGATAGCTAGACACCCACATAAATTATATAGTTGGTATGGATAGCCAGGCAACCACATAAATTATATAGTTAGGATGGATAGCTAGGCACCCACATAAATTATATAGTTAGGATAGATAGCCAGGCAACCACATGTTATATAGTTAGGATGGATAGCCAGGCACCCACATAAATTATATAGTTAGGATAGATGGCCAGGCAACCACATAAATTATATAGTTAGGATATATGGCCAGGCAACCACATAAATTATATAGTTAGGATGGATAGCCAAGCACTCACATAAATTATATAGTTAGGATGTATATGCTTGAAGTCGTTCCTGGAGTACTTTATCAATACTCCTAGAAAAGTCAGGACTACCAAATAATCTTAGAGGAGTGAGGGCATCCTAGATATCCTTGCAAAAAATAAGACTGCCCAGATATTTTTTTTTTTTTTACAAAACTAGGGACTCTTTAGATATGTTTGTAAAAGTTAGAACTTAATTAAGAGTAATTTTATTGTAGAGGTTGGGAGATTATGGAGATATCATTGGAGAGGACTATGGAGACATTCTAAGACTTTGGTGAACATAGCCAAGAGGTAGGACGTATAAGTATACATGGAAATTAAACTATCTTCAGACATTTTCAAGTTTTGTTAGTATTGATTAAGCATGATATATATATATATATATATATATATATATATATATATATATATATATATATATATATAACTTTTACAATATTTATGTGGAGTGAATTGGGACTGAGTACAGAATGAAATAATACCATTACCTGCAAATATTTTTTATGAAGTTTTGTTAGCATTTTACTATCAGGGTTAGCCAAAAAACTCCTGAATACATTTTTGGATAATATATAGATTTTCAGTTTTCACTTACTCAATTCCTAATCAATTACACAATTATCATAATTATGATATTAAAAATACAAAATCAGTTTCTCCTTTACCTGAGCACCCATAAATATTGTTTCCACCAATTCAATGACGCCAGTGATAACGTCGAAACCCTGCCTGTGATTTTTCTTAAAAGCATTAGTTCAGATTTTATTGTAAATCAGGCAAAAAAAAGTCTATGTTCAATAATGCAATGCTATAAGGTGCTCAGTACTCCATGGCTAAAACATTTAAACCAAAATAACAACGAAAGATTGAAAACCCATACACTTGTCATCACCTTTGCCAATCTTTGTGAAAAAAATCTTATTCAGGAATGGAGTTAGGCCCAATACAGATTGCTAACTCTACTAAAGGTAAACAGTTACTTTGTATTTTCAAGGAGATTTTTATTGTCATTAACCACCATAAAGGTAGATGCATTACTGAATATTTAGATGCAGGAAAAAACTCATTTACAGTATCTGGATGATCATAATTCCTTACAGTACCATAAAGGATACTGTATATAACTTTTAAAATTTGAATATTTTCAAATGCCTCTTTGAACTGACCCATGTTCACAAGTACAGTACAAATTATATACTGTATCAATATCAGGGTGTTTAGAGCCTAGCGCATTGTCTACTTCACAAGTATTTTTAAAATAATCAAGTGCCTCTGTCCTTACTCATGGCTTGCAGTACTATAGCAACATTGTTGTATGAGGTAGCAGTATCAGGGTGTTTGTGACCTAGGAGCATTTCATTTACTATGAGGGATTTTCTCTTATAATCAAGTGTCTCTGTCCTTACCCATGGCTTGTAATACTATAGCAACATTGTTGTATGCGGTAGCAGTATCAGGGTGTTTGGGACCTAGGAACTCTTCTATTATCTCCAGACATTTTTTATGATAGTCAAGTGCCTCTTTGTACTCACCCATGGCAAATAGTACTCCACCAATATTGCTGTATGATTTTGCCATGTCAGGGTGTTTGGGACCTAGGACCTCTTCTCTTACCTCCAGACATTTTTTATAATAGTCAAGTGCCTCTTTGTACTGACCCATGTTTCTCAGTACACTACCAATATTGTTATATGTGGTAGCTGTATCAGGGTGTTTGGGACCTAGGACCTCTTCCCTTACCCCCAGGCATTTTTTATAATAGTCAAGTGCCTCTTTGTACTCACCCATGTCTTGTAGTACTCTACCAATATTGCTGTATGATTTAGCAGTATCAGGGTGTTTGGGACCTAGGACCTCTTCCATTACCTCCAGGCATTTTTTGTGATAATGAAAGGCCTCTTTGTACTCATCAATGTGTAGAAGTAAATTTCCAATATTGCCATATAAGGAAGCAGTAGCAGGGTGTTTGAGACCTAGGACCTCTTCCCTTACCTCCAGACATTTTTTATGATAGTCAAGTGCCTCTTTGTACTCACCCATGTCTTCTAGCACTCCACCAATATTGCTGTATAATTTTGCCATGTCAGGGTGTTTGGGACCTAGGACCTCTTCCCTTACCTCCAGACATTTTTTATAATAGTCAAGTGCCTCTTGGTACTCACCCATGTTTCCCAGTACACCAGCAATATTGTTGTATGAGGTAGCAGTATCAGGGTGTTTGGGACCTAGGACCTCTTCCCTAGCCTCCAGACATTTTTTAAGATAGTCAAGTGCCTCTTTGTACTCACTCATGGCTTGTAGTACTTCACCAATATTGTTGTATGAGGAAGCAGTATTAGGGTGTTTGGGACCTAGGATCTCTTCCTTTACCTCCAGAGATTTTTTAAGATAGCCAAGAGCCTCTTTGTACTCACCCATGCCATGTAGTGCTCCGCCAATATTGCTGTATGATTTAGCAGTATCAGGGTGTTTGGGACCTAGGACCTCTTCCATTACCTCCAGACATTTTTTATGATAATGAAAGGCCTCTTTGTACTCACCTATGTGTAGAAGTACATTACCAATATTGCCATATAAGGAAGCAGTAGCAGGGTGTTTGAGACCATGGACCTCTTCCCATACCTCCAGGCATTTTTTTTGATATTCAAGTGCTTCTTTGTACTTACCCATGTCGGTCAGCACACAAGCAATATTGTTGTATGAGGTAGCAGTATCAGGATGTTTGGGACCTAGGACCTCTTCCATTACCTCCAGGCATTTTTTATGATAATGAAAGGCCTCTTTGTATTCTCCCATGTGTACAAGTACATTACCAATATTGCCATATAAGGAAGCAGTATCAGGGTGTTTGAGACCTAGGACCTCTTCCCTTACCTCCAGGCATTTTTTATGATAGTCAAGTGCCTCTTTGTACTCACCCATGGCTTCTAGCACGCCACCAATATTGATGTATGATTTAGTCATGTCAGGGTGTTTGAGACCTAGCACCTCTTCCTTTACCTTCAGACATTTTTTATGATAGTCAAGTGCCTCTTTGTACTTACCCATGTTTCTCAGTACACTACCAATATTGCTGTATGAGGTAGCAGTATCAGGGTGTTTGGGACCAAGGACCTCTTCCCTTACCTTCACGCATCTTTTATGATAGTCAAGTGCCTCTTTGTACTTACCCATATGTTCTAGTACTACACCAATATTGTTGTATGAGGTAGCTGTATCAGGGTGTTTGGGACCTAGGACCTCTTCCTTTACCTCCACACATTTTTTATAATAGTCAAGTGCCTCGTTGTACTTACCCATGGCTTCTAATACTTCACCAACATTGTTGTATGAGATAGTAGTATCAGGGTGTTTGGGACCTAGGACCTCTTCCTTAACCTCTAGACATTTTTTTTGATAGTCAAGTGCCTCTTTGTACTCACCCATGGAATGTAGTACTGCACCAATATTGCAGTATGAGGTAGCAGTATCAGGGTGTTTGGGACCTAGGACCTCTTCCCTTACCTCCAGGCATTTCTTATGATAGCCAAGTGCCTCTTTGTACTCACCCATGGCGTGTAGTACATAACCAATATTGCTGTATGATAAAGCTGTGCCAGGGTGTTTGGGACCTAGGAACTCTTCCTCTACCTCCAGGCATTTTTTTTTATAGTCAAGTGCCTCTTTGTACTCACCCATGTTTGTCAGCACACAACCAATATTGCTGTATGAGGTAGCTGTATTAGGATGTTTGGGACCTAGGACCTCTTCCATTACCTCCAGGCTTTTTTTATGATAATCAAGTGCCTCTTTGTACCTACCCATGTCTGTCAGCACACAACCAATATTGCCATATAAGGAAGCAGTATCAGGGTGTTTGGGACCAAGAGTCTCTTCCATAATCTCCAGACATTTTTTATGATGGTCAAGTGCCTCTTTGTACTTACCCATATGTTCTAGTACTACACCAATATTGCTGTATGAGGCAGCTGTGTCAGGGTGTTTGGGACCTAGGACCTCTTCCCTTACCTCCAGACCTTTTTTATAATAGTCAAGTGCCTCTTTGTACTCACCCATGTCTTGTAGTATTTCACCAATATTGTTATATGATGTAGCGGTGTGGGGGTGTTTGAGACCTAGGACCTCTTCCCGTGCCTCTAGACATTTTTTTTGATAGTCAAGTGCCTCTTTGTACTCACCCATGGCTTGTAGTACACTACCAATATTGCTGTATGAGGTAGCAGTATCAGGGTGTTTGAGACCTAGGAACTCTTCCCTTACCACCAGACATTTTTTAGAATAATCAAGTGACTCTTTGTACTTACCTATGTTGTATAGTGCTTCACCAATATAGTTGTGCACTTCTGCTATTTCAATCGGTTGACCTTCAAAATATATGGTTATTTCTCCCTCATTTGACTGAAAAATTGATAGAGCTTCTTGGTACAGAAATAGAACTTCGAATGCATTTGCAATCATTTTTAGGACATTGAGATTGATTTTTTTCTGTTCTGTGTCAGAAGTGCAAAGTTCCATTTTTAGCAAGGTGGAAGTCATGTTTAAATGGGGCACCAGTTTTGACATATTTTCAAGTTGTGAAACTCCAAACTTATGCACAATGTATAGCTGGAGCATAAGCCTTATGTAATAATCACAGTATTTCTTTCGTGTCTGAGAGATTTCATTGCTGTCAGTTTGTGCAAGAAACTCTGCATACTCTTTCATCAAAGGATGCATATCATAGGTATTTTGGACCAAATTCAAAAGTGACTTATTGCTAAGACTGTCTAGAACAGATTCACATTCATCTTCATCCATCTCCAAAATCTCTGAGACTTCTACTGAATTGAATGCAACAGGAAATATATGCAGTCCCCTAAACACCTTTTTCTCTGTGTCATTCAGTGTTTCGTAAGACATCTCTAAGCAGGTAAGCATACCTTGAGATGCTGGAATGTTAGGTAACTGAAGAGAGGGGAGGACCTTTATGCGTTTCATTTTCTCTAACACTTTATGTACTGTTTTGAGCTTGATCTGGGCAGCTGCTAATTTTAATGCAAGGGGACTGTGGCCACATCTCTCTGATATTTCACCTAAAGCTTCTGTTTCACTATCTGTGGGGCTGATTGTATTTCCCCCCCAAAGGACTTCAAGTGAAGATGTTTTATCAAGAGGAGGGATGTCTATAGTAACTTTGGTTTGTGACAGAAGACTGAAGGATTCACGACTGGTGCATAAAAGAGTGATATGTTTTGATGAATTCAGGATTTCCTCTAGTAACTGTAGAAACTCTTGCTGGTGTGAATTCAAAACGCTGTCATTATTATCAAGGATAACGAGAGTGTCTGTTGCTAAATTAGACATAGTTTGTGTGAATTTGTTCTGATAATCGCTGTAAATATCTTTCAAAAACTGATTTGGGTGAAAATGCTGCACAAGTGATAATTTAACAGAATCAAGATTTACAACTTTTCTCATATCAATATACAAGACATCTTTTTTGACATCTTTTCTGTGATTTCCAACCTCAACAGCCATGCTTGTTTTACCTATGCCCCCCATGCCAGTCAGGAGAATGAGTTTTGTGTCATTTTCCACTTGCTGCTGTATTTTCTGCACCAGGTCCATTCGTCCTTTCAGCTTTGGAGTTCTACTTGGAAGGTTAGTAGAGATGAGCTCACAAGGTGCTTCTGAAATTGAAAAGTAGACATGCAAGAAAAATCTTTACTTTCATGCATAAAAAATTATGTTAAAATTATACTTTTACATAATTTAAGTATTGGAATAGAGGTCTAACAGTCCCTCTTAGCTATAAAGAGCAGTTTCTCTCACTATTCTTCACTGCACACTTGTTATTTGTTAAATATGTCATACCTGCTGCATGCAATGGATCAGTAAGCAACTTGTCATAGTCATCACTGCTGTAGATTTTGGACAGTGATAATAACAAAGCTTTCAATTCTGTAAACTGGGTCTGAAATGCAGCATCTGTGAGACTGGCGCCCCCGTGGGAAAATTCGTTGCGGTGTTTCTTCACTCTGCCAATCTGGGCCTCCATGGACGTGTCAGTTGTCGGTGGATTCTCCCAACTGCCCTTTGGGTTTAGTGTTGTGATATTTCTTAACAAGACTACTGTAAGAGTCACATCTAAGTCCTTCAGTGTCACAGTTGTGGAGGGATTCCCAGAAGGGAATAGAAGCTTCATTTGGCTTGCATTCAAAACTTTCATTTTTTTCAACTGTAGCAAAGTTTGATTTGCCTTTTGGTCAGTTAGAATATCAAACAACTTGCCACCATTTGACGGATCAAACAACCCTGGATAAGTTGTTTGTAACTGTGTACTGAGGACATCTTGAAGCACATCTTGTGACCGATGTATCAGTAGCCCCATACGCATTATGTTTTCAGTCTCATTTCGTGGAATGGCAGCAGTCGCCATTTTGTCTTAGTTCTGGAAAAATATGTCTCAGTGTGAAATAAGGAGGCATTGGTAAAGGTGTTGCTGGCTTTTGTAAACCACCACAAGTAAGTGGGAAATTTTGCTTGAACACTTAATTAAAAAAGGAAGCCCTTTGTTCATTTTTCTCGTCTTTAGAAAAGTCATACTTATAGTTCTTTGGGAGAGACATGGCATATTTTATTTAGGTGGTCCTGAAGTCCTTTTTATGTACAGACACAGATGTGTCTGTACATATACCGTACTAGGATTAAGAATGTGTACATTTACCCCGTGGACCATGTGAAGATTACACTGCGATTAATGCGGTGGAAAATACAATAGAGAGAGTGTATAATGATAGGGTCGCTAAACGATTGTTGATGGCATATAGTAACTAACCTAATCCCCTGGTCGCCTGGGTAGCCACGCCCCCTTAGAGTACTTATGTAAACAGACGGTTTCCCGTAGCGAACTATCCTTTTGTTCAACAGCTTCGCGCGTGCAGCTGATTATGTATGTACTGACACTAAAGCTATCTGCATATAAATTTGTGCTAGCTGTTATTTGATTTATTCTGCTGTGTCGGATGTTGTGTATCAGCCCACTGGTTCGTTGACTTATTTTTTTCTGAAGATTGGTGGTGCAGATTTTGAGTGCTTAATTATTTACCCTCCTTCTAACAAGAGAAAGGGGAAGGGAGATAAAAAGAGAGAGTGCCTTAGATCGTCAGTGTGTGCAACAACAAGTGACGCAAAAACGGCAAATTGTTAGCAAAGAGGCGTGTGTTTGTTTATGGGGGGTGGGGGGGGGGGCAGCTAGTGATATTTTATATGTGTAGTTGGATAAAATAAAATTGTCCAGAATAGCGTACGTACAGTTTTGAGAAGTTGAATATGAAAACATTTTCGACAAATAATAAAAATATTCAGAAATGTTTAGAAAATTAAACAGTTACTCTGGCGGCTTTCCGTCATTGCTATGAATCTGACATCGAATTTAGTCCAAAATATTAGTAAATTCAGAATAACTAGCTAAAACGTAAATTGCCATAATTTGTCAGATAATCAAAAATACCGGTGATCCACGCGGAGGGTACGCTTTCCTGAAGGTGGCGGCGACGAACGGCGACGATATTTTTCTGAACAGTGAACCTTTATTAGTTACAAAAAGCCCCCTTTTCAACAGGCGCGTTTTATTAATTACTTTATGTCACAAAGTTAATTTATACAGGCAAAACTTTATTCAAGGAAATAGTTTCACGAAATGAACGAGAGTAAAATATAAGTCAGCACAAATATAAGTCATACAACAATGAGTCATGTTATGGATCATGTTATGGGCCATGTCGGATTATAATGGCATACCTTGATGCAAAACAGTCTATCATTTTTTTATTTAATGTAATGTATTACTCATTACCCATTTCATTTGACACTCTCTCTTTTTATCTCCCCTCCCCTTTCTCTTGTTAGAAGGAGGGTAAATAATTAAGCACTCAAAATCTGCATCACCAATCTTCAGAAAAAAATAAGTCAACGAACCAGTGGGCTGATACACAACATCCGACACAGCAGAATGAATCAAATAACAGCTAGCACAAATTTCTATGCAGATAGCTATAGTGTCACTACATCCATAATCAGCTGCACGCGCGAAGCTGTTGAACAAAAGGATAGTTCGCTACGGGAGACCGTTTGTTTACATAAGTACTTTAAGGGGGCGTGGCTACCCAGGCGACCAGGGGATTAGGCTAGTTACTATATGCCGTCAACAATCGTTTAGCGACCCTATCATCATACACTCTCTCTATTGTATTTTCCACCGCATTAATCGCAGTGTAATCTTCACATGGTCCACGGGGTAAATGTACACATTCTTAATCCTAGTACGGTATATACAGCACCGATAACACGATAAGTGGAAAACCATTTTACCTTTTGACTTGAAACTTACAGAACAGATGAATATTTATAATACGCAGGTCAAGTTAAAAAATCAGCATGATTGGGCCATTTTGAGGGAATTTATGCTGTTTTTTTCACTATTTTCAATATAAATGCAACACTNCTCTCTCTTTTTATCTCCCTTCCCCTTTCTCTTGTTAGAAGGAGGGTAAATAATTAAGAACTCAAAATCTGCACCACCAATCTTCAGAAAAACATAAGTCAACGAACCAGTGGGCTGATCCACAACATCCGACACAGCAGAATGAATGAAATAACAGCTAGCACAAATTTATATGCAGTTAGCTATAGTGTCACTACATACATAATCAGCTGCACGCGCAAAGCTGTTGAACAAAAGGATAGTTCGCTACGGGAGACCGTTTGTTTACATAAGTACTCTAAGGGGGCGTGGCTACCCAGGCGACCAGGGGATTAGGCTAGTTACAATATGCCGTCAACAATCGTTTAGCGACCCTTTCATTATACACTCTCTCTATTGTATTTTCCACCGCATTAATCGCAGTGTAATCTTCAAATGGTCCACGGGCTAAATGTACACATTCTTAATCCTAGTACGGTAGTAGCATTTTACTGTTTTGACTATTTGTTTACTCCTACTTTGATTCGTTTTATCTATGCTCAGAATAAACATGTCAAAATGCTAGGGTCAAAATAGCCTGCCATTTTTTCCTTCAGCAACATGAAGGAAGATGAAAGGCAAAGTAAAGGGAAATGAAGAATTGCAGCTAGCTTTAATTATATGTTGGTCAAAATATACCCGTAACGTGTAAACGGTAACTCTCGGTATAGAAAGTGTATTTTAAAAGTCAAAACAAGTCACATAAAGATTGTAAAGGTTACTTATTCGTCGTAAAAGTTTTCGCCTCTTTCAGGCTCTTCAGACAAAAACATGTTATACAGACTTGACATTTAATATATAATATTTTTCCTAAATCACATTTAATCAGTTTTTTTTTTCTATTTTGCTGACTGATAAAAGAAAATAAGGATTAAAATCGTGTTTTAAAAACTTCTGATAATCTGTTCGATGTCATTGTGACCTCAGTTCATTAACTGAATTCGCCAGTGAAGCAAACAAAAATGTACTGCCTATTTTGAGTCATGCGAAAGCCATTGAAAATGATATTTTTGATCTCCATATTTTCCAAATTATCGTCTTTAAAAGAGTTACACGCCACACAAAAGCCCTTCATGTTAGTTTTTAGTCACAGTAATGGTCGCTGTTACGCTGGACCTCATCTTGCTGCTACCAGAGGTTTCAAGTGGCAAGGCATTCCTTAGGATTGGTTTTTAGAGTTTAATCTGGAATAAAATTCCAGGCACCGGATAAACTTGTCCAATTTGGTTCAGTTTTGTCGCAGGACTTGCAGGCCGTTAATTTGGAGAATAATGACCTACCCACACATTGTGTATGTGATTCAAATATGGCGATTTTGATGACCAGGGTAGCTGCTCTTTCCCTTGGTTCTGTAAGTTATCTGCTATTAAAAGTGCTCTGTGTGAATCGGTAATCCCATCGTGCAACCTAAAATTGTTCCTAAGGTGCCCCCTATCAAATGAAGGCCAAGTGGTTCCCAGGGTATTCCTTTATTTGATCTGGTTCAGGTTTTCATCGATGACTTCCATTAGTGTTTTGGCACCAATGTGGTATCTACACCAAATACTGACGCTGTCAATGACCCTAGTCACTTAATGTGTACCACACGCCTTGTCGTGGGCCTCTTCAGGATGTCTGTAAACTCTGTTTTGACCAGTTTAGCAGTACGTGTTAAATCTGACCTCAATAAAGAAAGCCACGCAGTTTCAGTGTTCTACACAGAAACGGACACGGTCCCCAATTCATTCGAGAAATAGACTACGCTGTTTTGCTGTTTACAGTGACTTGCTCAGAGGTCGCCTGATATCCTAACCTGCTGAAACAATTTTGGTGTTCGTTAAGAGCCTTGAAAAACGCGTTTTGGTGACAATTTGCCCCTCATTCAAAACGGACTAGGTGGTTTTGGTTTCATTGCAGCAGCATATCCTGAAGGACAATGAGTATTGTACTTTGGTGGTAAGATGTCGATACATTGGGCGTGGTCTCTGTGTAGGCGCATTAGTCTGGGCATAACTCTATAAAACTGTGCAGACCATTCCGTTTGACACAATAATCTGTCTGGCAATGTCTGTCCTTTTTGCGCTATTCTGGCACAGCTTACCAAATTCATAAAACAGTGCTTAGCTCAAACTGCACTGCAAAACCGACCACTTGCATGCAATTTTTCAAATTCTTCGATACAGTAGTTGCCGCCATATGGATACTTTTTTTACAGAACCATGCTTCATCAAAGCCAAGCTTTGACCAGCCCAAAGGAGCCCTAGCCAATTACATCACTGCACATTACTCAATACAGCAGTGAAACAGACTTGGTAGTCAGTTAATTGATAGCGACACACCTGACTTTATACGTCTCCAGTCAGATATCTTATGTGAGATCTGATTTTTTTTAAAAGAACGCATTTTACCTAGATATACCTTTAAAACTGAAATATTCCATATAAAATGTCAAGTCTGTATATATATATATATATATATATATATATATATATATATATATATATATATATATATATATATATATATATATATATATATATATATATATAAGTAGAATGAATTATCTGACGCTCTTTCGATGTTGTGCAATGGTGTACTTGGAATAAATGGCGACGTTATTCTTACTTTTCAGGTATGGAATGTTCTATCTTCGCCTTATTGGTCTTACTTGTCGCATCGGTATTGCTTCGCCTATGCTCAATTCCAAGATTTAAGAAGGATGCCATCGACTTTGTTCAGCTTCTACAAAGGCGTCGTTTTTTAACGACATTTGTTCTCTTCGCGTGGTGCTTTAAACACTACTATATTGTTGCAGCAGCGCTTTTTTGGTACATAACCGACTTGTTTTTAGACTGTTACAATAGAAACGGATTCGCCTATTTTCTTATCGTCCCTTACTTACACTGGAAACTTTACCGGAAAGTAATGTCATTTTTTAACCAAAGGCAACAAGAGCCAAAAGGTGATCATCGCCTGTGCAAAAAGAAAAAGCGAGTCTCTCCTCAAAATAAGAAAATGAGAATAAAACGCCGTAGTCTGAAGCCAAGGCGTTTCGTGCGAGCCCAATGGGAAATGGTTTCCCGTGGAAAGAACGGTTCTGTGTTTGGTGCCCTAGCCCCTAGCAGAGAAAGAGACCAAGCTATGCTTGAAGACACAGGTGAGTCAAATGTAACCGACCTGCAAGAAGAACCACTTAATTCAACAGCGACAAACGAAAGCTTCCCGCCGGACCAAGCAGAAGCTCAAGTGCAAACCGAAAGGCCACCAATAGAGGGGAGAAATGAAGACGAAACTTCCCAACACGAAGACAACGAAACACATAGTGGCATTGTATTTGGGCCAGCTCAAAGCACCGTGAATTTATGTTACCAAACCGAGGTAACGCGTGCGTTGGAGAATCCTTACATTCCCGGACTTGTTGAAAAAAGTATTAAAGGTAAATAATAAACGTCACACACATACACATGTGTAATCAAATTCACCCCCCTTCATTCTGGCTTTAAGGGATGTTATATGTATTAATTAGTTTTAGTTTATAAGAATCTCTGTTTAAAAACGCATGGTCTTGTAGTCCGTCCCTCTTTCTCTTTCTCTCTCTCTCTCTCTCTCTCTCTCTCCTAGCATAGGACTGTTGGCCGGAGTGTGGGAATGAATCAAAGACGACTGCGTTAACATGAAATACCATTCTCCTCTGAATACTGTACAACACTGTTCAAAAAGGTTGTCTCCCTCTCCCAATTCCATGTACTTTTTTTTTACAAATGATCACCTTACGGTTGTAAATTGTTCTAAATAGTGCTTTTATTCCAGATACCATGTCTAACATGATAAATTGTTCAAAAAGTACAAAATAATGGTGAAAATATACACATTTTATACCATTTAGTCAAATTTATAGCAGGTACCCCCTCAAATCCAATGTTTCACTGTGATTTCTACAGCTGTAAAGGAATGTCCGTTGAATTGAAAAAAAAAATAAATAAATAAACGCCATCAAATGTCACCAAATTTACACATAAGTAGCATTAGGATGTGTTCGTTAAAAGTCACATGCCTAATATTGTGTGGGTCTACCGCGTACTGGAATTATCTATATAGGCGGTGCGACAAGCCTTCAACAAGGGTAACAATTCTGTTAAGTTGGAAATTGGTCCATTCTTACCGAACAGCTTGGGAGAGTTGGTCCTCGTTTTTGTGAGGTTGGTTCGATCTCCTCTACATTACACACTCCAATTCATGTCAGAGGTGATTAGTAAGGTTAATATCAGGGCTCAAAGATGTCAGCTCCATTCTTAGAACATTGTGCTTCTACAACATATCACTTGCCAGGCGAGAGGTGTGAACAAGTGTGCTGTCCTGGTGAAGCCTTGAGGTAACCCCAAAGTCAGTTCTTGAAGATGGAGTGAGATATCAGCTGAGAAAGATACGTTCAGTAAACCCACAGGGACCTGAACCTGGCCACCCATCACTGGAAGGAAGTTGGTTTTGCTGCAGAAACAAGTTATTTCTTGCATCCCATCGATGGTCCATAGACATGTTGAAAAATGCCCCTTGGAATGGTGTGTGCAGGATAGTATCACCTGAGGTATGAGATCAGTCGCCGTTTGGAGAACATTCCAATCCCGTGGTATTAGTACATTGTTCCTTCTAGAACAAAACATAACTGGGGAATTTTACTGAACATTCTCAACAGATAACTCACTTCATTTGCAAGAGGTGACTTTAGGAATGCTACCGGCTTCATTGTGACAACGCACTTGCTCACAGCTCTCGTCTGGCAAGTGGTTTGTTGCAGAAACACATGGCTCTGAGGATGGGACAACCCTCTTTAAGCTCTGATATTAATCCTACTGAGCACCTGTGGCATTGATTGTAATTAATTGTAGAGGAGAACCAGTTTCCAAAAAATCTGTTCCAATTCCTCCAATGGATTGACAATATCCCACAAAACAGAACTATTACCCTTGTTGAAAGCTTGTCGCACCACCAACAGGAGATAATTGCAGTACGCGGTAGACACACACAATGTTAGGCACGTGACCTTTAACGAGCACATTCTGATGGCAATTGTGTGCCAGTTTGGTGACATTTGATGTTTTTTCTTTCTTTTTTTAGACATTTCTTTGCATCTGTGGAAATCACAGTGAAACATTGGATTTGAGGGGGCACCTGTTATAAATTTGACAATGGTACAAAATGTGCATATTTTCACCACTATTTTGTATTTTTTAACCATTAATCATGTTAGACATGGTATCTGGAATAAAAAACACCGTTTTTTACAAATTTTCGCCTGTAAGATGACCATTTGTAAATTAAAGTACATGGAAAGGGGTGGGACAACCTTTTTGACCAATGCTGCATGTAGCAAAACCTTGGCGCACATAATCACCTTATATAAGCATTTAATGCAAAATTGGTGTTCTCTTCTTAACGTTTTAGAACAACGTCATGATTAAGATTTAAATGAAATCGATTAACGAATGAATATTAAATGATAATTATAATAATAATTTATTCAGCACAAAGAAATGGTATACATTTACAGACTCTCTAACTAATACAACATATAAAATAATAACTTAACTGTAACAAACTGTGCTCATCTACGCAGGTATACACCTTTAAAACAAGCAGTGTCCCACATGTCATTTGAATATTTTATAGCCATGCAACCGACCTTCTATTCTAACTCAAGTGACATCGCCAGTTATTCGGGATCAGAAACCAAGATGGGAATGGTTATTATAATCAACATTGTTAATTTCTGCCCCGATTTGAATATTGAACCAAGAGCAGGCAGTGAGCTTGACGAAGGTACGTAGATTTGCCTTTTAAGCCCCTTTTACACTGGATGACGTCCTTTCTGTGTCCCTTCTACATTGTACGATTCAAAGGGTGGCCTGGACGCTCAATGGTCATAAAACAAAATTAAAAAGGAAGCCATACCGTACACATCAACATATAATCCAAAAAATCTGGAAGTACACAATGTCATAACTGGAAACCTTGGTAAAACAAGATGACAAAATAGATGATATACTAACCGAAATGCAGATTATAAAGAGTAAGAGACAAAGTCCATCACTAAAGCAAATTTTAACAAAAGCAAAATTGGAAAACAATTCCAGGACAAATGTGGAAACCTCAACAATACGAGTGCAGAAATGTGAGGTACCCAGGTGTGGCACTTGTCCACTAATTAAGGAGGGGAGCCATCTAACATTTAAAAATTGACTTACATTTAGAATTAAACACCCATTCACCTGCACTAGCTCAAATCTAATTTATGTATTAACTTGCAGTGGATGCGGTGAGAACTATATAGCACAAACTGAAGACACTCTTCGACATACACAGTATAGAATGACCGTTCACAGACAACAAATAAGACAACCTAAATATCTGTGCACGTCTGTGAGTGGGCACATTAGGGAATGCTCTATGAACAAAAAAAAGGACTTTACGGTATTCCCATTTTATAAATTCACTAGGGAAACAACCCAAACAGAAAGGGAAATGAAAGAAAATCTATTCATTAATAGGTATGAACCTACATTGAATAGATAAAAGCATTGTTAAAAGTAACAACTAAACACCCATTTTTACAGACGTCACATTTTAGCCTTTATGACATCACCTAGTAACAAATAAACAAAAAAACCTGAAGAAAGAAAGAAAAAGGTCGGGGCAAAAAAAGTTGCTGTCCTTTTTTCTTTATATATACATACTACATACAGACTGTAGACCTATAATGTCGGGTCTTGCCAATATACCAATTTATGAGGAACAAACAGCATATATAAAGAGTTTTATTTTGTTTAGAATTATTGTATATCATTTGATAAATGTAAACGCCCGTCAACCACACACACATAAAAAAAAAAAAAATTCGTTTCAAATTGTTCTAAATATTGAATTGCACCAAGCTTCTTTGTGATTTTTTGAACCAATAATATTTCTATTTCTCAATTTTTTTTAGTCATATTAAATAGTCAATGCTTTGCATGCGAGGACTATTGGAACTAATGTTGATGTGAAGAACTTGAATAAGTGGTGAAATGAATTAAGTTGCCATTTCGCCAAGCTGAACTAATTATTGCCTGGACGATTGTTTAAATAAATTAATGAAAGCATCACCTAGTAACATTAAGGCCAATTTTGGCTTTTTTATTAATTTTAGAGAACATTGAGAAAACATTCACACAGTCTGGTATGAACTATGATGTCTTCAAGATTCGGGACAAAACAAGTGTAGATTTAATGGTGGAACTGACCGGGTATGCGGAGTTGGCAAATGGCAACAATCACTATCAATCGTTCGCCATATTTGTTCTTTCACATGGAGACAAGGGGCAAATACTTGCAGCAGACGGACAACCCATTGCAATGTCCACCATTGCGAATACCTTCAGTACGGAGCAACATCCGAATCTGGATGGGAAACCGCGGGTGGTAATCTTCCAGGCATGTCTGGGTAATAAAAAACCAGGTAAATTCCCTTTCTCCCTCACTCTCTCTTTGTTAAAGAGAATGTATCAGCCGTTGCGAAGACAAAAAATGCCTTTATGCATAAAACATACTTAAAAAGAACAAATAAGTGCTTAGAAACATTAATTCATATTTATGGCAAGTGATTATCTATAGCGGTAAAATATAACTAATATAAGTGGTACTCATTTAAATTCAGTTGCATCACGGAGACGCTTGCTACCTGTGCATTTGAAGTATTATGTGTTTTAGAATCAATAATTCCTCACCCCTTCCTAAGGGTGGGTATAAGAATAAGAAAATTGATGCCTGTAAATCAAAAGAAACAAATGATAGATGCGAAAAACCATTACAGAAAAATTACTGAAATGGCAACCAGCCAGACACATTACGTACAGTATAAACACAATGCAGGAAGGTACATACCGGTGTTTGACCATTTATTTAAACATTTATGATCATTTTGCTAGTTTCGTTTACTTGATTTTGTTAACAGGCGTTACTGTGATAAAATGATATATAAACTGAATCCCTCAATGAAGTACCTTGCATTATTTAGAAAATAAAACCTAATTAACAGAATCAAAATTTTACAGTAGGTTTTAAGCCAAAATGTTACCTAACCAGTACGTTTCTTTTCTTTACTGCTGTTGATACAATATCATCTACTGTTAAACTTTATAGTACCCTCCCAACAAATAATTAAAATAAGAAAAAATACACAGGAATGTAAATATTATCTGTCCGTATGTTGGCTCTGTGGTGCATTTAAGTTAATATATTTATATTTTGTAAAGTTATTTTTATTTTTTTTATTATTATCATTGTTTTTTTTAACCCAAATAATATGTCAATTATTGTATGTAAAATATTGCATAGAAAATACGATGTAATTACCCATTTTATATGTAATCTCTGCGACGGAGAAATACGTTTGATGTTTTTGTTCCCATAGGCACTTACTACATGCTTCCCAATACGATCGGTATTTTATCTATCGGTATTTTATTTTTCTTTTGTTATAGAATTTACCACCGGGACATTAAAAGATGATCTCCTTAAGGCATGTGATGAAGGGAATGATGAAGAAAATGTCAAACAACTTAAGAGTACAAAAGAGGTCGAAAGCGATCATTTTACAGATCCGATTCAATACATCGATCCAATTACTGACGAACATTCCATTCCTTCGGCCGATGGACCGGATTTTGTTTTTGGATTTGCCACTCTCCCCGGTTGCACGGCCATAAGAACCCCAGAAGGATCTCCGTTCATCAAGCTGCTCATGGATGAAATACGATCCGACATAAAATATGGACACCCGATCAGAAAAAGCGTGATAGAGATGCTTCAGACTGTTAACGATCGCATGTTGCAAGACCACTGCATATGTATTCAAATGTCAAGTACCGCAAGAAGATCTATTTCGTTTCGTCGGCAAACATAAGGAAACTGAACAGAAAAAAAAACGCAGGCAGATATTGGCCCTTGTGCCATTGGCTTTACAACAAATATCATCCACATTCCAAAGCTTATGGTAATGGTACAGAAAGGTGATAAACACATTTTCCTAGAGAATGCTGGTAGAACAATTTCCCTAGCTATGTTATTATAAATAGACTTACGAAGATTTTTAGTCTGTAGCTACTTATGTTTTTCTGGTCCTGCCAGCCAATATTTCGGACTTTGAGAGGCATCCTAGTATCCCCAAATGATAATTAGACCCAAGAGAACAGTGTGGAGTTGTATACCAGTGTGAGTACCAGGTGTGTGGGGAAAAATACATCGGAGAGACAGGACTTTCCTTAACAGAAGGAATCACGGAACATCAAAAATCTATTAAGAAACGCGATTAAAAAAACTATGCCCTCGGCCAACACCAGGAACAGGCAGGGCACTGTATAACATCAACAACCCTAGAAGATGTTAAAAAGACTTGGAAAGAGAGTCACGGGACCTACACCGTTCTTGAATCGACTAACACCCGCTTTTATGGGGCCAAGCTGAATCGAGATGATGGGACTGAGCTACCCAACCTCTACCTACCATTCCTTAGGGAGCAGCAGGCAGGGGGGTTGACCAAATAGCACACAAAAGGGGGTGACAGGATGTCACATCTATTACATCTGTCACAACCTCCTCCCTCATGAAGCTTGGCCTCAAGCAGACGAAATATTGACTGTTTAGATCAGACAAATATAAGAAGTAGATGAAATAAAAATGCAGTAGTATCGAAGTAGTATCGAAGTAGCAAAGAAGCATTAACGCAGTAGTGGTGTGGAGCATATTTGCAGTAGAAATGCAGTATAGCCTACTGCAATTCTACTTCAAAAATTACATAGGATCATACAGAGACGGAGCATTAATGCAGTAGATTCGCAGCATGATAGCAGCATGTTTCAAATATGCTAATTACATGTAGCTCCCACATCGAAGCAGATTTGAAGCATGTTTGCAGTATGATTGCAGTAGTCTACTGCGCTGGAGTATCTACTTCGTTTTCGTGCGGGTAAGGCTAAAAAATCTTCACAAGTCCATTTCCGTAGCGAATCAAGGAGTATTTATCCCAGAGCTAAATGACATCTGACGAATGGTAAATATTTAATGGTCTAATCCGTACATTAACAAAGATTGTATTGCCAGGTTTTTCTTTTCTTTTTTTTTCATCCACATACAACAAATGTAAAAATGCATATTTCGAAATTTAGTTTATTTTATGTTTACAACGGAGGTGACGCTTTTGATAAACATTGGCATTTTTTATGTTAATGTAGTAACATGCTTGATTTTTTAGTTATATCTTTAATTTACCCTATTTACCTAACGTTTTAATTTCCGTGTCTTCTGTGTGACTCTAAGATAAATGTATCAATCAGAATGATAATAACAAGTGCTTTGTTGCAAGATTTAGGGCACCTAAAAGCCACTGGTGAAAGACTTTTGCATAAAATCATGTTAATCGCTTGATAAAAGGCATGACTCTACACGATGTATACAGTATATACTAAATGTAAACATATGTTTATTTTACCGCACGATTGATATTGTGATTGTTTGAGGCTTTCTTATACCCACACACCAAACGTGTTATACTTTATTACACGTATACCAGACTCTCTTTGTATTTATCATGTCCTGGGAAGATCTAATTTGAATTATAACAACTTATTGTTTGATTATAGCTTCATTTTTTGCAACTTGCCCAAACTGCAGATTTTATACTTTATTTGACGTATATATACCAGACTCTTTATGTATTTATCATGTTCTTGAAATATCTAATTTGAATTATAACAGCTTATTGTTTGATTATAGCTTCATTTTTGCAACTTGTCCAAATTGCACATTTTATACTTTATTTGACGTATATACCAGACTCTTTATGTATTTATCATGTTCTTGAAATATCTAATTTGAATTATAACAGCTTATTGTTTGATTATAGCTTCATTTTTGCAACTTGTCTAAATTGCACATTTTATACTTTATTTGACGTATATACCAGCTCCCNTTTATTTGACGTATATACCAGACTCTTTATGTATTTATCATGTTCTTGAAATATCTAATTTGAATTATAACAGCTTATTGTTTGATTATAGCTTCATTTTTGCAACTTGTCTAAATTGCACATTTTATACTTTATTTGACGTATATACCAGCTCCCGCACGAAAATGCAGTAGTATCGAAGTAGCAAAGAAGCATTAACGCAGTAGTGGTGTGGAGCATATTTGCAGTAGAAATGCAGTATACCCTACTGCAATTCTACTTCAAAAATTACATAGGGTTGTACAGAGGAGGAGCATTAATGCAGTAGATTAGCAGCATGATAGAAGCATGTTTCAAATATGCTAATTAGCTCCCAATGCGAAGCAGATTTGAGGCATATTTGCAGTATGATTGCAGTAGTCTACTGCGCTGGAGCACCTACTGCTTTTTCGTGCGGGAGACTCTATATGTATTTATCTTGTCATGGAAAAATCTAATTTGAATTATAACAGCTTATTGTTTGGTTATAGCTTCATTTTTGAACTTGTAAAACTGCAGATTTGCTCTTTTAGAATAAAGTATCTACAGTGTATACGGATATTTTAATTATTTTCACGATCGACAGACCATGTAGAGGAAAAACGGCAATCAATAGGTAAAGACTTAAAAAAGCGGATCAACGAACAATTTAATGTTTGTTTATTTCACTAAAGGTTATCATTTCAAAAAATGAAATATGAAAAAAAACCTTAAGTTCGTTTGTCCTTCCCTTCTTCACGTATTGAGACGGGCTGTCCTATTCTTTCCCGCCTCACGGGCAGAAATATGTTGATATGTTTCATTTATTTTAAGTATTACACGCAACAGGGATGCTGACTACAGCCTTGGAGAAATCCTTATACGGATACTACACGCCAATGTTGACGGCAGTTTTCAATGTAAAGAGGTATTATCAGGGGCGTAACCAGACCTTTTAAAATTGTACGCACAGATTTTGAAAATTCCCAGGTACGATTATATTCCGTGAAAAATACACTGAATTTATGGAGAATAATATCATGGTTGGCTCAAAAAATTGTACGCACAGTGCATCCGTGCGTATGCCTGGTTACGCCCCTGTTATCATGTTCCAAACATCGCGCTGTACATAAACCGAGTGAGAGATAGGGTGGCTATATACACTCTCAGAATACAACTGTCAGGGCACTGTTTCTGTCACCAGGAACTGCCAGTGAATGAGTTCTCTGGGCGCAAGATGCAAGTGCAAAAGAGAAGAGAAGAACCAAATTCATTTGTGAGTTAAGGAAACATGCCGGAGTTCAGGGTGGGGGTGCAGTGGGGGTGGGGGGGGGTGGGGAGGGAGGCTGGTCTCATGTACCATGGACCGCAATGTCTGGAGGATCCATGTTGGGGATCGGCTGAAACCGCCTTAGTAGTAGCAGTAGTGCAATGTAGAAGTAGTAGTAGTAGTTGTTGTAGTAGTAAAGGTAGTGGTAGTAGGAATAGAAATAGCAGCAGCGGTACTAGTAATAGTAGTAGTAGTAGTTGTAGTAGTAGTAGTAGTAGTAGTAGTAGTAGTAGTAGTAGTAGTAGTAGTAGTTGTACAGGCACAACTAGTACTAGTAGTAGTACATGTAGTAGAAGTAGTAGCGGTACACGTAGTAGTACACGTAGTAGAAGCACATGGCAAGACGTGGGAAAATTTACAAATTTCACAACCTTTGTGCCTTTGTCTTTGTTGGTGCGTTGGTGCAAATCCCCATTTATTATTTAAAGGTGTGGTAGATAAATCCATTCCCACATTCAAACTAGAAATAATATCCACCCCAGTGGATTTAGCTGAGAAATAGGTACATGTATCTCCGGGGTTAGTTGATTCGCAGTGTAGGTGCCTGTAAATAAATCTCCCCCCTCCCGTGAATATTTTATAAGGTAGCTCATTCCATTGGGCATAAGGGTAAATACTTATTGATTTGGATAGTAAAACTGTTGTTGATGTGTAATATTCGTTTTAATCACGCCAATTATGTGTAATAACTATACATTAACCCTCCATCTGATACTCTCAATTTTGTCTTGGTATCGATGGTGTTTTAAGTGTTAAAATCCAAATCATTTGGAGGAATACAATGTCCGTCAATAAACCACCTGGTCAGCTCTCCCGGCGGGTACCATGTCACCGGTTCACTGGGGTCGTTTAATTTGGCACATACTGTTTGGGGGTGGTCGGCTCATGCCTTAGTTAAACTACATCAGATCAAAATAACACGATCCAAAGCTGGGCCCCTGGGTACGTGTGTTTTGACAGCGCCCCTAGTTAAGAGCTGTGAGCTTGTTAGTGGGACGCTCGGGGTTGAGATTTAATGCTCAAGAT